CTTTGCCCTAAAGTAAACCATGTCTCTATGCTTCTAATGAATATACTGAACTGCCCTAGTGAGGAAACATTCCACTTTCACACTGCTTCATATCTCGCTCTGTTGTTTTAGAGATCCCTGTCGCTATGTGCTATGTTGCAGGTAGTAAATTAAGAAGGCTACCACACTTGTAATATTTTGGTGCCTTCTGGTGGAAAACTAAAAAGTCTCTTCTGAAATTCTAAAAAGTCTCCCCAGGAAATACTAAAAGTCTTCACCAAAATCTAAAAAGTCTCTTCTGGAATTACGAAAAATCTCTCAAGAAGCTTGAAAATATTGGACCCATTAATTTGAATATCCTCTCCTATTACTAAAGATTATTTTATTTATTTGTGAATGTCTATTACTAAAGGAGTAATAGTGCACTTGGAAGTCCTGTCAAGTTAAAAAAGACTTGTACAGAAGGGCACACTTGAAGCCTCTGCTTTTGTAGCATCTGGAAAGTCCTGTCAAGTTGAAAGAGACTTGTACAGAAGAGCCACTTGAAGCCTCTGCTTTCATAGCACCCAGAGCTCGCAGCTTACTGCAACCCGAGGTTAGATCCCTTGGATAGGTACCCCATGAGCCAAACGTGTAGGCGTAAGGACCCATAGCTCGCAGCTTACTGCAAACCTTAACCAAGAGTGTTAAGCACAGATTACCCGTAAGCAAAAGTGTAGGTGTAAGTAATCCCAACTCTGCAAATATAAACTCGGAAAATTTTATGTCTAGAAAGTTCTACTATGTACTCTTTAGTATAAAATATCTATAGTTTTCTGAAAAAAACATTTTAAATCATTAAAGAGCTCAATTCGGTATTTGGTTATATCTTCGAAATGAAGAACTATATCATGTGACTAAAGCGAAGCAAAAGAACTTATGTCTAATTTTAGTTCTTAGCATATATGCAATTTATCAAATGATCTATTTCTTTATTATTTAATTTTGCTTATTTATTTATTTACATCTAATTTAATTCAATACGCATATATAATATTTTAAACCCAATTCTAAAATTCCCATTACAAACTACCCAAATTTCTAAATATACCCAAACCTACCTCCATCCATTTTATTCTATCTAACCTATTCAATCCCAAATCGCTTCATCTACCCAATTCCTTAATCCTAAATACCCGAAATCCAAATCCAAATTTATTCATTTTATCTAATTTTAAATCCAATCCTATCGCTAATTATAAACAACCCGATTCTAATTCCCATTACAAATTACCCGATTATCTAATCATAAATCTCCAAAATCCATTCATTCTATCTAACCCTAACCCCAATTTCAAATTAAACCCGATTCTCTAACCCTTAATCTAATTCGTTTTCACTAACAAAAATCCACCAAACTCCTACTACTAAACCCTGATACTTCTAACTATAAACTATCCTATTTTTTTAAATCCCTAACATAACTCATTCTATTCCAATTCTACCCTTAATTATTAAATTATTCTTCATCATTTAACCCTATTTAACACTAAAATTTGAATCCCAATCTTTTACCCATTTCTAAACCTGATTCATTTCATTTAAGCCTAATCTTATCTATAATCACTAACTACTCTTACTCTAATTCTATTTAACCCTAAATCCCACTATCTACACGAAACTATTTCTAATTATCGAAATTCTTTCTATCCTAAAACTAAAACTCCATTCTATTTGTAACAAACTCCTATTCTTAAAAAAAAAAAAAAAAAAAAAAACCTATATTTGTTTCATACCTAGCAATAACTATCAAACTTTAGAAGTTCTACCTGGAGAAGTTTTAAAGATTTTTAGATCACAAGAATGATACTTATCAAATCACTCCTCCTAGCAAACATTTGTCAACAATTACCGTTTATCCTTTTCTTCAGATTCAACTTCGTATTAATGACCAACTAATACCTTACGTCCTACTAGATGACTAGGGGCTTTATGTCAATTATTCAAGAAAAGAAAATCGGCCATCAAGAAATAGAATCTAAAAGAAAAAAGAAATTTGAAACACAGCCTATATATATATTAAACCAGGAGTCAAAAAAAAAAGAGCTAAGTCAAAAAAAAAAAACAAGCAAAAAGGATACATTACTTTTGCAAGACCCACGCCATTCCACATTGTTCTATGTCTAGGGATAGTAATCAAAGTGTAAAAGTCCTATTTGGAGAATTCTAGACGACTTCTTAAAAACCCTCGATTCCCGAAACCGATGCTTCTTTAGAATGTTCTCCTTAGAGAACAAAGAAGCCCTAATTTACTCTCTTATTCTAATATCTGTCACTAGTATCTAATACCCTAGTATTGACCAACTGAAACTACTTACATTCTATCAAATGACTAGAAGACCTATGTTGGTTATCTAGAAGAAACCAGCCACCAAGAATAAGAGTCAAAAAAAAAAAAAAGAAGTTATTTCGGTTTTTTCAAGTTCCGATAGAAACTTGAATTCTAAATTTCCACTTCAAATAATTAAGGCCCCAAAGAAAAGGAATCTTAGTAAAATACTCCAGAAACAAAAAAAAAAAAGAAACCATAAACACAAAAGCAGAACATAAAAAGGATATGATGTCTCAACAAAGTTCTGTACTTGATGTCGAACTTTTAGTTAACACAAGCTTCGACCACTTGTGTTCCCAACTGGAGCCTGAATCTGCTAGACGAAACTAAAATATATCCAAGAAGTAAATTAGTGAAGAAAAGGCTAAGTTCAATCTAAGAAATTGCTAAGAGTAAAAATAAAACAATGAATCAAAGTACTCAAAAAAAAAAAAAAAAAAAAAAAAAAACGACAAAACTTTTTTAAAAAAAAAGATCTCAAGAGACCTTATTAAACTAACCCATCAGTCCACTTATATTATTTCAAGAATTAAGGGACCCGGCCCTTATATATATCCAACCCTGATCAACTAGAAAAAAGGACCTGGTTATGCAGTTAGAACTAACATATAGCAATGTTTAAAATGTTAGCCGAAAGGAATGAGCAAATAAGACTCCAATCAAGACTATACCGGAAAACCTTGCAACAAGATTTTATATTGCCTGAAAAAGAAACACGATCCTCAGAACAAACGACAGCTCCAAATGACAATATCTCTAAGAAGCAATACCAAAGAAAGAAGAGTTATAAAAAAAAAAAAATCAGCATAAAAATAAACAAAATCAAATAACAACATTTAAAAGGATACTCGAAGCAACAGCATCCGCTACAACTCCAGGAACGCAACAATGATTTTTGAAAACCCCAAACGACGAAATCGAACAAAGATATTTTTCTAAAAATACCTTAAAGAAAAGAATATAAAACAATACAGAAATAAAAGACAAAAAAATAAATAAATAAAAAGAAGACAAACGAATATACTCCCAAGATGTTGCATGAACACCAAAGCCACTATGGATCTATTCTAAGATCTAAGCAAAGATCTAGAACCGACGTAGAAATAGCAAAAGAAGATCTTAAATGAAAAATGAAAACTAGAAAAGCTAAGCCTAAGAAAAGAAAGACTGGTAAAAATAAAAATTAGATAGAAATAACAATATAAAGACCGGAACCAAGACTCAGAACACTTACTCAAAACTGATCTTTTGACATGTTCAAGAGCAAGCGACCAAGGTGGATCCAATTTGACAATCCGTAAAAGATCCAAAGCTTGAAGAAGAGACAAGACTATATAACTCGAAATGAAAAAATCCCGAAAGAAAAATACGAAAGACCTAAAAGTATAAACTGTAAAAGAGAAAAATAGAAAGAGTAAAAAAACTGAAATCAGTAGATGATTGGTTAACTTATTTATAGGCATTGATCACCTGACTTATGTCACGAATGCCAAAATGACCAAAACGGACCAAAAGGCCTAGGAAACTCCGATCAAGACAAGAAAGAAGACCATTACCTAAGTAATAGCCAGAGCTAGGAGACCCTAATAAAAGAAAAGAGAGAAAAGAATTTGGAAAGACTTTAATTTGACCTATTTAATTTATGAAAAATAAGAATTTTCAGAGAAAATTCTAAAAGAAGATGAAAAACTCGAAAAAGCAAAAGTTTTATTTTTTTATTTACAAAAGAAAAATTCTAAGAAAATAGAAAAAGACAATGAAAAGAGAAACTATTCTATACACAAAAACACCCCAACCTCTTCTCTCTCTCTCATTTTTCTCCTCCACCCTTCTTTTTTTATTATCATCATCTTTTCTTCTTCTTCTTTCTTCCTCGAACTAGCAAAGAAGATCTTGGTAAGCAGCATCACGCTCCTCGAACCAAGTCTGATACTTATCTCATTCTTCAATAAGAGCTTCTTGCTCCTGCTCCCAACGAACAAATTGCTGCAAATGGTCGAGAGCCATATAGTTGAGCTCTGTAATTGTTGCAGCCTGGTCTTCTACTTGTTGCTACAACTACCTACAAATATTATTATAATTAATAGATAATCAATTATTTGATTTTCTTCTTTACATATATATTTACAGAACGTTATTATTATTATTATTATTATTATTATAATAGTAATGATGATTATTATTATTATTTTCATTATCATTATTGCTACTATCAAATTCGTGTTGATAAAAATGTTGAGACATGTTTGTCGAGATTAATTGAAAATATGTAGAAACAGTATAGAAAATATAGTCTATTTATAATAGATTATTGAACACAACAATAAAAATAAAAATTAAGGCATTGTGAACTACCAGAATTACATCTTAACTATGTCATTTATATTCACATGCAAAAACAGGTTAAACAATTATATTATATTAGATTATTTATACAAACTAACAATAATCAAATTTTAAGCAATAATACTTTAGTGATAGATTTAAAAATATCGAAACAGCGATAGACAAAAACTATACATTTTATTTAGTTATTTTTATTAGAGCAATTACATTAGACAATTTTATTAGATTTAGATATTTCAAAATTCTAGTTTTGAAAATTTATTAGACTTAGATATTTGATCATTAAAACTCAAAATTTTTATTAACAAAATTTAAAAGTATTTATTAGAAATATAAAACAAAAGATAGTACAAAAAGAAAATGAAAACTGAGATAACTACAAACTTCACCCAAGAAAAACTATGCCCGTTTTCTAAACCTCTACAATGCCAAAATCTCAATTTCCATATTATTATTTACCATCTCCAAGTCTGCAACCCGAACTCTCTTAACCTATTTCTTTCTAATCGCAACCTCTCTAACTGAACGTCATTTTCATAATTCTGCCAAACTAGTTCAACTGGATCATGCTCTTGTAGCTGTGCCTAGAGGATTGCCACTTAATTCTGCAACCCCTGGATAATAGCCGGAATGGACTGACTTCTAGTTGTTCGTGGTATCTAAGTTTTGACGAAAGTGTCGTTAGAAAAAGAATGCTTTTTCCAAGATGAATATACTTAAAAACGAGAGTATCAAAAGAAAGAAAAAGAGGAAATAATCAAAGGAAAAAGTATCTACTAGGGCCATGTAGTCAATCATACAAGTTATGAAAAAAAAATCAATCATCCAAGTATGAAGGACAGTCAGCTCACCCAGATATGAAAGACTGGTAGTTGCCCCGAAAGTGTAAAGCTAACGAGGTTTAGCTCATGGTCCAAAAAGTATACCCACCTTTGACAAAGAAAGACAAACAAGACAAGAGAAGTTATTGAAAAACTAAAGAAAAAAAGAAAAGAGTATTAAACAAGAAAATTTCTAATATAAAGGAATTGTAGAAAAGAATAATACCAAAAAGAAGATTTGTGTGTAAAATTTTTGAAAAACCAAACACACCGAAGAACAAGAATATAAATGAAAATTAGAACAATGGTTAAATTTTCTTATGCCAAGAAAAACTATCGCATGGTATAAACAAAGAAAATCATAAACAATAATAATGTGATTTATAAATTTAGAAATGAATGAACAATTTAGAATGCAAAGCTAATTTTAGTACAAAGAATTGCATGAAGTCTAAAAACCTCCTAATTTTTAAGGAAGAAACAGACAAAGAAACTAATGAAACACATAATTCTGGCATGTGGAAAGTTGACAAAGAAAACCATATCTACTAAATTAGTATTACTATAATTATTTATCTCTTTAGAAAGAAGATTCGAAAGAAAGACTTTGGCAAAAATAGAAATAATATATTTTATAATATATTGTCTATTTTAAATCAACTATAACCAAAACACATGATTAAAATCTAATGACTTTATTGAACAATTACAAAGAAAATACTCGAAAGAATACTGAAAAATCTTCAAAGAAACAGAAAGCTCAATTCAATTTCAAGATATAGCAAAAATAAATACTATAGCAGTAACCAACTTGGCAAATACTATGGAAAACTTTTACCATTATTCTCGAAAAATTAGAATTTTTAGAGAAAAGTCTTAAAGGTGATAGAAAACACAAGACAATTCTTAATTTTTAATTATATATTGCATGCTATATTATCTGTTTTAGAGTAACTATAATTAACACGTGACTATTAATATTCAAAAGGAGTAGCTAAAAAAATTTTAGTATCATTTGAACTATGGATTAACGGTCATGGCAGAGGGCTGTCATCATGCAGACCCAGGTTCGAGACTGGCTAAGGGAGCTGCCTGCTAGGTACCAAGTTCAGTGTGGCCCTTAGTTGAAGTATTCGAATGATTGATTTTTTTTATTTTATTTTATTTTATTATTATTATTATTTTATTATTATTATTATTATTACTATTATCATTATTATTTTTTTTTAGTTTATATATTTATTTTAATTGAAAAAGAGAGTAATAACATAATATATATGTACAAAAGAAAGAAAATTACAAATCAAATTCTACATCCAAATCTACTGCAACACTATCTATACGCCTCTTCAACTCAGCAACCTGAACCTGCAACTGATTTCTTTCTTGAACAACCCTCCAATGTTCTTTATCCCTCCTCCAATTC